CCTAGACACAGGAGAACTATTGTCGTGAAAGTGTTGTACAGTCGATTACGAATTTAGATTGCAGAGAGTTTGTTCTGAGCGCTAAAAGCACTCACGATAGAGCACATTTTGCTTTATTCTAACAACTGTTGTTGGGATATGACGAAATATGAGTTTTTACGTTCCAAAAGAAACTATTCAAGTACAGAGTTTTGACACGCACAATAGGACTTTGATCGTGATGTCGGGATTCAATGCAAGTCTGTCGGACAATCTATATCCACACAAAAGGGGAAAGACCCAATACAAATGGAATATCGATGTTGTGTACCATGCAGTAGGGAATAATACAAGATGTCCCAAAGTACTGTAGAATCCTCGTAGAAATCGAATCGAGTTCTGTAAACACAGGATTTTCCAAGGGAAAATTGTTTAACTCACTTTTCTGATTGAAGCATCAATTCAAGCCAAACATTAATCAAATAGGAACAATTTCACTCAAAGTATACCAAACACAGGAGAACTATTGTCGTGAAAGTGTTGTACAGTCAATTACGAATTTAGATTGCACAGAGTTTGTTCTGAGCGCTAAAAGCACTCACGATAGAGCACATTTTGCTTTATTCTAACATTCAAATACAAAAGGCAACAAAACAAATATACGTCAAGAACAGCACTGCCTTATCTACAAAGGAGTGAGTGATTCGTTGACTATGGGACGTTCTTCTTCCGGTGGAGGAAGAGGACGTGTGACTCCTCAGAAAGTCAAGAGCAATCCAAGTTCAACAGTTGTGAAACATCTATTTTCAACAAAAGATGAGAAGGATGGAAAGGCAAGATCATCGTACAAAGATGCCGAAGAAAGAGTGATTGACTACATCCAAGCTTCTGGAATGAAATGCTACGAAGACATGTTGAAATCAATTCAAGATGGAAAGTCAATCGACTTCAATGCAATCGCTCCAACATTGAATGCTCCAACTCAAACTGAAGCTGTTGCAAGAGAAACAGAGATGGCCCAAAACAAGATCCTCTATTCTGCAAAGCTCGACGAGAACATGCGAAGATCAGCCTACTTCGAAACGAATAAGCGAACTGTGAAATCAAATATCATGCTTAAGTTTGTGACAAAGGCGATGGATATCAAGCTTTGAGGTGGAGCCAATTTCACTACTACTCTTGAAGATCCAATCAAACTCTTGAAATGTTTCGAACAATTCATGAAGAAGAGTGCTGATGCTGAGTATGACTTCTTGGATTTCTGGGAAAGTTATTTGCTATGAAGCAAGGAACAACAGAAAACTTGATGCATTTCAAGGAACGATTCTTGAGACAGGCTGAAGTCCTGCAAGATCTATATGGCGTTGCCTGGTTCCGAAATTTTGCAGTCAAGACAAAAGCGTATGCTGCTATTGTTAGCACCAATACTATTGCTAAAGACAAGTTCAAGGATGATATCTTTGAAGCTGTTCTTGCAACAGGATTCCTGTGCAACTGTGATTGAACAAGAACAGCTCCTCTGATGCTGGATCTTCAGACAAACTACTGCAGGGAAGTGGATTATTATCCAAAGACGGTCAGCAAAGCACAAGATATGTTGAAGATTCACATGGATGTGATCAAGAATCCGGGAGTGAACCTTTACCAAGGAAAAGACCAGCCAAATAAAGGTAAAGGTAAAGGTAAACCGAAGGACGATAAGAAAAAGGCGGCATGTTATGTATGTGGCAAAGAGGACCATATGTCTTCAAAATGCCCAGACAGACTGCTACCAGAGAGTCAATGGAAGCATCCAAAACGCTATGTTGATTACGGGAAGAAGCTCAATCTTAATCAGATTGGAGCAACTGTCCCAACTACAGCTACAGTTCCTGGAACTTCTCCAGCGACAAGTGTGATCACAGGTGGAACATTGAGTGTTGCGGGAAGTCTTAGCACACCTTTGCAACTTGCTGGTACTACAGGTAATCAAATGATCCAAGTTCCTACAGGTAATCAAATGATGCAAGTTCCTTCGGGAATGCAGCTCGTGCAGATTCCAACTCAAGGTGGCGGCACTGTTACTGTCCCTTAGTCAATGAATGCTAACGGTGAGATTGCGTTCAGTGGAATGCAACTCAGCCAACAAGGCTTCTGTGGTGCTCAAGTGCGCCAAAGATTAGATGCAACTCAAGCTCGAACTCCGCAAGTTGTGAAGACTGGCTATTTTGATATGTCAAATGTCTTTCACGATGCTATCAAGGGAAAGGATGAGAATGGCAATGATGTCTATCTTATTCCATGTCCTACTGGAACGACTAACGTCGAACTTCAATCCAACTGGCACTACGCTAGTGAAAATGAAGACTTGCCTGATCTTGCTACTGAAGCAGATCGAGGTATGCAGTTTATTCAAAGCCGCAGAATCGAAAGAGATCCGTTTGGTTTGCTCGATCACGTCATCATGGACAGTGGTTGCACCAACACCACCATATGTAATGGTGAACTCATGCATGGACTACGTCAAGCTGAGAAAGAGCTCGATATGCACACTAACGTGGGCAGCAGAGTTCTCGATGAAGAAGGGTTTCTAGGAAGATTTCCGCCTCCAGTTTATTATGATGAAGACGGAATTGCCAATGTACTTGCTATGCGCGAGATGATTGCTGCGGGATACCGCATTACCATGGATACTGATTTTGACAATGCCTTTGTTGTGCATTGCGATGGAGACAGACAGATGCGATTTGTGAATTGTAAGGGTGTGTATGTGCTGGAGCAACTTGGAGCGGATGTCGAACCAGGTTCCAAAGAGATAAGTGCGATGTATCGTCGCCAGTTAAGCAGCGTAAATAAACAACCCAATTTCGAACTTTCTTCAAAACAGAATAGATATGCTGGACTCGGGATGACTGCGAAGATGGCAACGGTTCGAAAGAACAAAGAAGGATTCATTCCAAGACAAGTCAAGGCTGCGATGGAAGCGAGAAGTGCGATGCACATACTCAATGCTCCAAGCACCAAAAGTCTGAAGTATGCAATCCGATTTGGTCTCATCAAGGACTGTCCTATCATTGAAGAAGCGATCAACCATGCCAAAGCAATCTTTGGACCTGACGCATCTACATTGAAAGGCAAGTCAACAAGACCAACTCCGAAGAAGACACACGATGACTTCTTCAGTCCACCAGAGGAATTGTACCAACATAATCGATCTATTATCGTCTGTATTGATCACATGGAGATCAGAGATGCTAAGTTTCTCAACTGCATTGATACCACTGTGCGTTATCGCTCATGTATTCCCATGCAGAACCTCAAGACTGACCCTGTATTTGAAGCATTGGATAAGATATTCCGCCGCTACAATAAGGCAGGCTTTTATGTCAAGACGATCAAGTGTGATTGGGCTTTCATCCCTCTGACGGATGATATGCTAGATGATATGGGTGTTACTATTGACTCGACTGCAGCTGGAGACCACGATCCTACAGCTGAGCGAAACAATCGAACGCTGAAAGAAAGAGTTAGAGTAGCTCTTGCACGATTACCCTACAAAGTGGTACCAAAGGTGATCACTGAATGCCTTGGACGTCGAGCCGCCGAGCTATTGAATGTCTTTCCCCAGAAAGACAGTATTTCCTCACATTTCAGTCCGCAGCAACTCATTGATAATGTCAATATCAACTACAAGAGTGACATGGTTGCTGAGCTTGGACAGTATGTTCATGCAATTGGGACGGATTCCAACAATTCGATGGAACCACGAAGTATTGAAGCGATCTACATTGAACCTACAAAGGGACAACGTACTGGGCACCAAGTGCTCAACCTCAATACTAAGAAGATGATTTCTCGACCCAAGGTTGTCGTACTACCCGTTACCGATCAAGTAATCCAGCGTATTGAAGCTTGGGCTGCTGCCAAAGGTGTTACTTCCATGAACTTCTTCGATAAGAAGAGATTTGGAGACATTTCAAGATGGCGATCAAATCGCAGGAGTGGATGACACGGAACAAGGTTACTTAGAGGAAGCCTTTGATCAGGACTATGAACCTGAAGATGAACATGAACATGATTTCAATCTACGTGGACAATTCGATGATATCGATGACTCCAAAAGAAATGAGCTCTTGGCAGATGCAGACAATGATGTCGATGATATGCTGGAACTCATTGTCAGATTCCAAGGGGATGATGACTATGAATCAGATGACGACGATTCGGGTGGTGAAGGTGATGAAGAGGAAGAACCTATTGTGGCCGATTTGGATCACTATCAAGAAAATGTCGATAGAGGAACCGATGATATTGGAAGCCTCGTTACTGATCTGGAGGATCTACAAGAACCGCCAGAAGAAGAGATTGTATTTGAGCCTGAAACACCTCAAGTAGCAAAAGTCACTCAATCTGGGCAAACATATGCGCAAGCTGCGATGTCAGGGCTGAACCTTTCTCAAGTTCCAAAGAAACCAAGAGAATGGCCTTCGAGCAGGAATGACAGTTCTGCCAATAAGAACAAGAATCGAGTTGCAACAAGACGCAAGCATCGAGAGAGGGAATTGAAACCGTTAAAGGACAAATTGAAGTCTGGTATTCGTACCAAAGAGGGAAGTCGCAGTACTAAAGACAGTAAAGCTATCCTTGAAGCACAGCACAATC